TGACAGAGCAGGGGCCTCGTGTATGCCTTTTTTCACACAAAGCTGTAAATGCAATTATTTTGAACAAAATCATGTTGAAGTTTGGAGTATTTTCAACAAGTGGGCCAGTCTGTCAGGAAGAAAAAGTGGTCCGGGAATTCCTGACAGACTGGCCCACTTGTTGAAAATACTCCAAACTTCAACATGATTTTGTTCAAAATAATTGCATTTACAGCTTTGTGTGAAAAAAGGCATACACGAGGCCCCTGCTCTGTCATTATCCTTGAAATGGTCTCTACTTCTGTAATATTAACATTTAAGAAATCTTACTTTCAATTCGGTACTTCTCCATCTCTTGGACTTCGGAGGCAGATTCTCTCAAATCATCCGTAAACCTTTTGCGATCCTGAGGGTTGGGGGCATTGAAATTTATGAGGACTTTAATGTCTTCTCCAGGAATAGCAGAGGTCAGCCGGACTCCATTATGATAATCTGAAGAGTAACAAAACCAAAAGCCAGGCCTTTATATAATGTTAAAAACATAGTTTGAAATTAAAGCACAAACATTCTGTAAATGTCACTAGAATAGAATAGAATAGAATAGAATAGAATAGAATAGAACAGAACAGAATCAGCCTTTATTGTCCCACATGGGGAAATTCAGATGTAGTAGCAGCAGCAGGTACAACCATCCACAGAAACACTATATTGCTATGTGACATTATCAACTGGAGCAATAACAGAAGAAATGAAAGATAACAATAAAAAATAAACATAGATCAAAACAAAAGTAAGAGTAATCATTACTCTAATGGGCTATCAAGATGAAATTGGATAAAATGAAAATAAGGCAAGATGCTGTGCAGAAAAATATGAATTACAGGAACAGACAGTAATGACAGACTCATGATCCGAGGGGGTGTGCAAAATGAGTCAAACTCAGTCATTAAGTCCAGTACAGTAAAAAACTTTGTACAATTGCCACAGGGTATTATTTATGTAATGAGTGAGAGGTAGAGTTTTCTGATGTGCAAATACAAACATGGATGCTTATCATGTTTGTCGGGAGCAGTGATGTTTATAGAGTCTAACAGCTGATGGGAGGAAGGATCTGCGGTAACGATCTTTTGTGCATTTAGGATGCAGCAGTCTGCCACTGAAGGGGCTCTGCATATCAGCCACAGATTCATGCATTGAGTGGGAGACGTTTTCTGTTATTGATGTTATTTTTGCCAGAGTCCTTCTGTCTCCCACCACCTGCACTGGGTTGAGGGGGCATCCCAGCACAGAGCTGGCCTTCTTGATGAGCTTATCCAGCTGCTTCCTCTCAGCTGTAGATAAGCTGCTGCTCCAACAAACGATGCCATAAAAGATGGCTGAAGCTACAACTGTGTCAAAGAAGGTCTTCAGGAGCGCCCCCTGCACTCCAAAAAGACCTCAGCCTCCTCAGCAGGTAGAGTCAGCTCTGACCCTTCCTGTAAAGAGTGTCCGTGTTGTGAGTCCAGTCCAGTTTATTGTTCATGTTAACACCCAGGTACTTTTAAGAGTCCACTATCTCACTGTCCACTGCTGTTCAGGAGGATTATTACATCCTTAAGTATAATTTCACTGTGGGAGGGGGGTGTACAGCAGGGTGGCCAAAGATTTGTCTATGGTGGCCATGGCCACCCCTGGCCACCCCCTGACTCCGCCCCTGCTGATTGGTTCCAACACGGAGTACTATCCTAAAATGTCAACGGCTCTGCTGAACCCCCTCCCCATACCATGTGTTCTGACCGCCCACCCCTCTCCCCTCCTTAGCTGTCTTGCACTGTATGCAGAGTAGTTTTTTTAAGCGTATGTTTGTGTGTTTCTGCATAAAACACAGGATTAGAGCTCATTTTTAACTCGTCTTTCCTAGTATGCGTGTATTCTAAGCTGCAAAAGGTAGCGCAACATAGTTCGAAAGACCCTGGATATTCGTTCCCCCATGTTTGTCATGTGCGTGTGTTTCTCCAGACGGATGTTCTAAACTGAAATTTCGTTCTGCATTGCATCTTGATGTTGTGTGTGAATGACAATAAACAATTCTGATTCTGAACATAGTAAGACAGGTATTTGGTCCCCAAAAGGACTATTGATAATGTATGTGTTTAAATGAGAAAAGATCCTATAAAAGGTAATAAAATCTTGCAGTAGAACTGMAAAAAAAAAAAAAAAAAAAAGAGAGAAGTGAGGACTGGGAAAATACACAAACACACACACAAACTCAAGCAAAGCAGATTCAGTAACCTTTGCATTTCAGTGCTGGATGAAAAAAATCTAATGACACTTACACTGATTCTCAAATAGAAGTATTTGCATCCCATAAAGTGAGAAGGACTGCCGGAAACTGTATGTAACAGAGTTCTTCTTCTTCTGAAAAATCTTTGCAACCTAAATAAAATTGATAGGTGACACAGTTGTGTTAGGTTAATCCATATATCCAGTTGTTTTCTCAAGACTCATGTGTGCCATACCACTAGCAGGTCATTAAAGAGGAAGATCTCTCTCTGGTGCAAGCCCAGCTTCTGAGGTTTGTTTGGGTCAGGTACTTCAAACAGCCTGCAGTAACAAACCAGCCTCCGGTGAGGGAGTGACAGCACCTGCACACAAAGTCAGTCTGCCTCACATAAAGTGGTCAGACATTCACATTACAGCAGTATTTTTCCATAAGGGTTCAACAACGAGTCCAAAGCAATCACCTCACTGGTATTCTCATTTGTTTCCTGTTACAACCTGAGTTCTGAATGCTGCTTTCAGGTCTCAAAGGAAGCACGAGTCTACATCTAGCAGATCCAGGACAAACTTTAAAACTTACTGGTTTCTTCCCAATGATTAGCTTTTCCACCTTCTGAACTTGTGAAACATGGTCTTCATTAGTCTCAAGCTCTCGGTGGCGTATTCGCTCATATATCCCCACCAGCGTCTCTCGAGGGATGTCCTCCCCATCATCAACTCCTGTCAGAAAACAAACAAATAAACAAACAAACAAACAAAAAACACATTAATGACTTCTGAGCTGTACATGAATCTCACACTGAAGGCACAAATCCCTTTCAGGGTTCTTTCAGGATGTGAATGTTTCCCATACCTAATACTATAATTTCAATACAGAGAAATTAGTCTCGCAGTGCAGCCCACTGTTAATACCCACAATGTTTGTTTGTGGTCACTAAATGCATTTGTTCAACAGAAAATGTATTACCCTATATTGCCATTTTATCATATTTGCTACGCAGGATTCTGTGACTTATATTTTGTTAATGTGATCAATATTTTCCTCAAAAACCTGTTGTATATCATGTGAGACCTGTATTCTGCCCTCTGATGGATTATAAATGTACTGCAGGAAGTGAACCTCTTTTTTTCTTTTTAACCTTTTCAAAATGTCTGTTATGAGGTCATCCACACATTTTTTTAGGAAAACTTTTGCTAATTTTGGAGAAGTTATGGTAAGACTAACATCAATGTTGTTTGTATTTTTTTAATAAATACTTTCTGTGTTGAAACAATGCATAATTACTTAAAATATTTTTAATAGTACAGTTAAACCATGTTAAAAAATTTGTGCATCACACTTGATACTGCAGGTATATAAGTTGCTCCAGTTCTGAATTGTCATGTGACATTTTAGATAATTTAATCAACAGTATTCTTGCCACGATACAACACACACTGTTTTGGATGATTGATTAATTATTGAAATGCCATTTGAAAACACGTTGTGGCTATTAAACTCTACGCTGTACTGACTAAATATTTATGTGTTAGATGTCAAAGAGAATTGAGGAAGAAAAGAGAAAAAAGAAAGTAAGAAAATGTCATCAATATGATGATAGATGGCATTTTTATGAAGTGTAAGTTACATCTGTGCCTGAACAAGGACAGAAACTGTATTTGTGCCTACCACCAAGTGAAATAAGTGGCTGTAAAAAGTTCATTGTAAAAAAACAAAGAAGTAAACTTCCTAGGGTGTTCAAAAGTTATGGGCAAAACTGTTTTTTTTTTTTGTTTCTTAATTTAACTTTGTTGTGAGCAAAATGTTACCAAAACAGCCCAGTGTATCAGATTTGATACAAAAAATATATCATAAACAAAGTGATGTGGCAAAAAAAAAAAAAAGGATTTTCTTTAAAGGCCCAAAAAACATGTCAGTTCTACAAAAATGTGAATTTTCTGACTATTTTTTAAAGCGTTTGGCTAGAAATGTCAAATACCATTTTGACACAGATGTTTGTTCTTAGTAAACTAGAAGCTTTAAACTTTAAGATGAAAATTATGTGTTGAAGAAGCGCAGTGGTAAGTTGGGATTTTGTGACATTGAGCTGGAAGAGGTGATTAGACTGAGAGCGGAGTACCTCGAAGATTTTTAATGAAGTCTTCCAGTTTCATCTTCCTTTCTGGTTTGACGTTTGGGCTGTACATGTCAGTGTTGAGGAGGATGATGGCAAAGGCAAGGATGAAAATGGTGTCCGGGTTCCTGAACTGTCGCACCAAGCCTGGGTTGCAGACGCAATAGCGTTGACTGCAAAGACACAAACACGTTACAGAAAGCTGAACTTTATTCACAAACCAGCTTAAAGTTTAAAGTTTAGTTTAAAACAAAAGTAAGGAGGAAAATTTGTATCAGCATTTGGGTTTAAGCTAAACTGAGGCAGCAAAGGCATACACAATCAATCTGCACATGGATCCTGCTCTTTCCTAGAACAATACTGATTGATTCTGTTGAACCATATTAGAAAGATTAAGTGAGCAAAAGTGAAATTTGTCAGTTTTGCGTCACAATGAAGTGAGTTAGTGATTGTGTCAAGACTGACAGGAGTCGTTCTTGTTGCCTCCCAGTAAGAAGGTCACAGGTTTACCTGCCAGCCTTTTTATGTGGATTTCACACGCTCTTCCCTAGCCTGGCCTTTGCCTTCCTATGAAGTTCTGCTCAATTCTAGTTTCCTCTGCTCCATCTGGGATTTCTTTCACAGACAAAGATTTCTCTGGCAGAGTTTCAACCGGGTCAATTGGAGAACAGGAGGAGTTGTGAACGGCAATGTTGATTTTCTGCTCTATAGGTCTGCCTATAGTTTAGCAATAACAGCAGAGGAAATGAAGGAAGTCTTTCAGTCAGTGTTGATTAGGTTTACAAATTAAATTAGGGGAGACCGGGGACAGTAGCAACAAGGGACGGTTGCAACACGCCATTTTTCTCCAAACAGAAATAAGCTAGAGTGATGACACTCAGTGATAGATATTTTTGAACTTTATCATTTTTTATATTTGATCCTATTGCATTAATCAGTTGTATTAAATATGTCTTTCTTGAATGAATGAAGTTTTTTCTGTTCTCGGCTGAGAACAGGCCTGTAGTAAGCTGCCATAATTTTCATCCCTGCAGCTTTGAGCTGCACTAACTGATAAGAAGAAACCCTGTGATTGGTCAAGATGTTTTCTCTGTGCTCTGTTTGTAATAAATTGTACAGCTTTTCCCAGCCAAGGTCAGAACTTTCTGCTGAGACCTGTCTTCAAGCGTCCTCAGAAACTTCTCACTCTTTGCAAAAAGAAAACTGTTTTAAACTGAATATTTATGTCTGTGTCTGGTTCATTTCTTTTTAAGGGGTAATTTAATGTCCATCTGACATTTTGGTGCCGTGACCCGGATCCCAGGGCGCCTTTCACCGCTGACATCTGGAGACTCTCTGGGTGTGTTGAGTGAGTGCACCGCTAACCAAAGTCCGGTAGGACTGGTGTTTCCTATTGGGCCGACAACACCTGTCAGCGGTGCAGTGCCTGGGACCCAACCTGCAACACCAACCAGGCAAGACATAAGTATAAAAAGTTTTTTCTAGAAAAAGTAAATCGTGCGCGCAGGACGGCATTTCCTGGCAACGTTAGTAAGCAGCGGCATTCTGTTTACCAGGGTGTGGCTACCCGGCATATTATCGGCGCATAATTGCTTGAAATAACTATAAAAATAGGTTTAAAATCCTGCAAGCTTCGCGGCGTCAAGCATATTGAAACACTAGAAACTAGAAACAGCTTTTTTCTGAGTTTCAAAGGGTACCCTCGGGTCGGCGTTACCTGAAAAGCAGAGATTTCAGAAGTGTGTGT